ACTTAACTAAGACACTGGACAACTTGTGGCCTTTCAGGAAAATCCAGCTGGCATGCTCTGAAAAGGCAGGCTTGAACTACAGAGATACAGTTCAGAAACTCGACAGCCTCACAGACCTCAAACCTCAGCTCTATTTATGTGCTTTGTGTTCATTTATGCTCATTTTCTCCAGTGAACTTAATTTCTCACCTATAAAACGAGGACAACTTTGATGGTAATAACGTTTCTACATCTCATGAAGACTAGATGGGATAAATGTGCAAATTCCACTAGATATAATGGCATAGCACAAGGTGAAGCAAGAAAATCATGAGTTCTAGGCCAACCAAGGCTACATAGTGAGACCCAGTCTTAAAAACAACAAAGTGGGAAAATAACTTAGCACAGAGATTGACACAGAGAAAAAGATCAATAATTATGACCACCACCAAGTCACTTTGAAAGAAGAGTACCATTAACTCCTGCCATGAACAACATAATGAGAATGAAATCAGATCCTGTATATGTGGGCCTAAGTCTTCCTTTTATTTTCCTCTCTGCAAAACTATTTACAAGGTACCAACCTCCCCATACTCCAAATGTCGGTTCAATGACAGCATAAATACAGAAAAGAACTGCTCTGCAGAGACTTGAGACCATTTCCATAGCATTTCCTGTTAAAAACACAAGCTCCAGGCACTGACCCAAAATAGACTGAACTGGAGGAAAGGGGAGCACGTGATCTACAAATATGCATTTAATTAGGAAGAGGGCTTGCTGAGTGCACTCACCCTTAACCCCAGAACTTAGGAAGCAGCAACACACGGACTGCTACAAGTTGAGGCCAGCCCGGTCTACATAGCAATTCCCAGGCCATCCTGGGCAGCTAAGATCAATAGGAAGTAACAATTACCGGTCTTGTTGCAAATGTTAACCACCTGCAGTTTCCTCAGTGAGAAAGCCTTGGATGTTCCACTGAGGCACAAACCCTGGCAGTCACATGGCTCTGATTTCCCTGAATAAAAACGGAGACGGTGGGCATGGCAGTACACACTGGTAACACAACTCCTAGGGAGACTGAGGCAGAGGAGCACTTAAGTCCAAAATTCCAAGGCTAGCCTCAGCAACCAAATGTTTCAAAGAGGAGCTGAGAGGCCTGGACAAGAGCCAAGGTCAGCTCACCAAAATACATAAACTGAGGATTGGGGATCTAGCATGGCTACCACACTAAATGAGATGCTTTTTCCACTGCCAAAGAACCAAAAAAGGCTGGGCATGTTGCCCCCCCTTGGAAAACTGATGCAGGAGAATTGCTATGAGCTCCAGGCCAGCAATAGCTACACAGTTATAAACAGGCCAGCCAGGACTATGGAGTAAGGTCCTAATTAAAAAACAAAATAACAACGAGGAGTGGTGAAAGGATTTTATAGTCTCAGCACTCTGGAGGTGGAAGCAGTAGGATCACGAGTCAAGGGCATCCTCTGCTAAGTAAGTTCAAAGCCAGCCTGGGATACAGACATCTCCCTCAAAGAAACAAAACACCCCAAAGACCCATTATCCCTCTCTTCCAAGTGTTAAGCAATTTCCCTAAGAAGCTCTTGAGTTGTTCAGGACTGATTAATCACACCAGACAACCCTTGACAGTAGCTGCTGCTCCCTACTCTGTCCACAGTCCCCACAATCTGCTCAGCCAGTGCTCAGCTTCAGGAAAACCTCCAAGGAAGGTAAACCAGCTGGGTGGTGATGGTGCACACCTTTAATCCCAACACTTGGGAGGCAGAGGCAGGCTGATGTCTTTGAGCTAGTTCTGGACAGTCAGAGCTCCACAGAAAACTCTGTCTCAAAAAAACAAACAACAACAAAAAGAGTTACACCAAAGATGAACACACAAGCTGTCGTTCACTATGCTCCCTTCCTCCTAGCAGCTTGGGCTAGACAGAGTAGCTTGGAGGAAATCAAAGGGCACCTGGCAGCTGAGCCTCCTCCTCACAGGGCCCATTTGACTACTGAGAAAACCAACTTGGGCAGGTAGAGAATCCAAGGTAGGAAGAAAAAGAAAGTCAGGGGCTCAGTGGTAGAGCACTATCCTGGCATGCATGATGCCTTAGGTTTATTTAAGGCCCAGCCCCAAAACCAAAGAGAAAGACAGACAAAGGGAGAGGAGGAGAGAGTGTGTGGGGGCAGGATGGTGCATGCCCAAAATCACAGCATTTGGGAGGCTAATAGAGAAGTAAACAGGTTCCAGAACCAGGTCTGCTCTCAAAACACAAAAAGACAAACAAGCCCAGAAGTCCTAGACTGAAGTAGCATGAAGGGAAGCTCACCTTAACTTAGTCTGTCAGACCCAAGAACAAACAAAAACTAACCCCTGGAGACAGCACCTAAGAATCAGTGGACTGGGGGATATAGGTCACAGGAAAAGAAATCACTGTCTTCACTTCCAGACTAGGCACAGATCTGAATTCCCACAAAGGCCAGCTTTCCCAGCACACCTTGCTAACCTCCCACTTCAGGATTTAGCCTACTCCACATCCTTTCACCCTCTTCCAATGAGTCTCAAGAACCAGGAAGGCTGGCAGCACAATATAAATGGGCCTGGACAGAAACCCCCACTCAGTCTCCATGTCCTGCAATTACGTAAATGAAGCAGGTAGAATTAATTCAGAGCTACAGAACCAATCCACCAGATGGCCAATGATCACTTCAGGCAGAAGCCCATGGCCTCAAGACTCTCCTTCTTATAATAGTAGTTCATAAGGAAACAATGGAAAGGATTTTTGACATTTGCAATTCTCTAGTTACCCCAGTTATTTTGTTATTACTGTTTGATTTGATTAGTTGTGCTGTGTTGTTCTGAGACTGAGTCTCACTATGTAGCCCAGGCTGGCCTCTCAGTAAGTAGCCCAAAGCTGATTGCAACCTTGGGATCCTCTAGTCCAACCTCCTAAATATTGAATTATAGGCATGTGTCATCATGCCCAACTGTAGTTGCCCCAGCTTAAAAGACATTTAAAACTGCTAATTAGCGATAGCCAATAATGTAGCCAATGATGTTCATTCCTTAATTACTTCATCCTACACTCACACACCCTTCTCATCCTTGTTGAGACTGTGCATCCAACCTGCTCCTGCACTATATCCTCCAGCCCCATTGTACACTGGCTTTGCTGTGCCTTACTAGGGCTTCTGGTTGTTGTCGTATGCCAAGCTCAAAACTCTGCAAATACTAGACGTAAACCGTCAATTCCTAAGACTTCTGTGACCTCTATGAAGCCACCCCCTGCTCTAAGAGATCACTCCCCACCACTACCACAAAGCTCCTAAAACCCTCTTCCTCCATCTGCCCTTCCTGTCCCCTTGTGATCCCAATCACTCTGCTCCAATTCTATCCCCCATGGACTCAGTCATCTCAGGAATGAAAGATGCTCCCTGGAAACTTCAGCCATTATCTAAGAAGTGACTCAAAAAAAAAAAAAAGTGACTCATGGAGCAACCCAAATTTTTACCCCAGCTGCAGCACCTCCAGTGCATCCACCTGGAGGCTGGCGGGGAGAACATGACTTGACCAGCACTCACCACCCTAGAGCTTTTCAGGCCATTTATGAACCTAAAGAGCACATGACTACAAAAACCAGTAAACAAAAAAAAGGCAATCTTGAAAACAAGACTCTGGAGAGGCAGAATGCATCTTGACCTAATCATGTCTGTTTCCAGGAGGACTTGCAGTGGTTTAATATGTGAGCTTTCCCCCCGAACATGTCAAAACCACTAATCAGAGATGTTATTTTGAACGTGAGCTTATATATATATCATAGTTTAGGGAAAGATGGAATTATCCACCACATAGACTTTTTTTAAATTATTTTTTACATTTCACCAAATAGACTTCATGTGAACTGGAAAATCAGTAATTCGTAGCTAGCTAAAAAAAAAAAAAAAAAAAAGGAACCTCACTTTAGGTTTCTTTACACAATGTCAACCACTCTCAGACAAAATTTAATCACCCCAATGCTTGACAGAGTACTAACAAACAGTTAAGTAACTTTATGGAATGAAAAACCAACATAGTTCAGGCATGGTGTGCATGACTTTAATCTCAGCAAAGGAGGCAGAAGCAAACAGGGTCTCTATGGATTCTAGGCCAGGCCTGTCTACAGAGTGAGTTCCATAGTAAGACTCTGTCTCAAAAACAGCAACAAAAGACCAATGTGGATTGTTGTTGGTTTTCTGTTCTGTTTTGATTGTATTATTCCTTTCTCTTGCAGTGCTTTGGATTGGTCCAGGGCCCCATGCATGCATGCTAGGCTAGTGCTCTGTCAGTTAGCTATGTCCTCAACCTCTTGGCCTGACACAGCAGAGCTCTGATTGCCCAAAATATTCACTCCAGAGACCAGGGCCACAGCAGACACCCTGCTGGAACATGCTAAGGAAAAGAAACCGCATGGACCCAAAAACCTAACCCTAACCCTGATCGTGCCAACTACTCCCCATAACACTTCCTTGCACTCAAAAAATGCATCTTTTTCGATCAAAGTCCCTGCCCTGTCTTCACATGTTGAAAACTCTAGCAAGGCAACCACAGTTAGGGTTCTGCAACCCAGCACCTCAATTTACATCCCTTCATCCACAAAGCACAGTTTAAAGTGTTTATTGATGTCCATTTAATTTCTAAGCTGTTCACTAATGAATACAATAAACAAATATCAAGAACTTCTAAGACAGAAAGGACCCACAGACTTCTTGCCAGAGTCCACTGTGATTGGTTGAGAAAATGACTGAAATTTAGTAGCAAAGAATTAATTCCCTCCCTCTCTTTTATTTCTGATGCTGGGGATTGAACCTGGAGCAAATCCATCTTTTGTATCCAGCTTTCTTTCCATTTATAGTCTCTTCCTACTGCCAGGAATATTAACTTGAAAAAAAAGTATTTCTAGGCAATAAATACTGATATATTATCAAATACTCATACTATAAAATTCCCCTATAGGAGAAGTGAAAAAACTGCAACTGCAACACCTTACCATCCTTGTTCACAGCAGTGACTTTAGCTGGATAAAATCGACAGTCAGACCAGCAAGCAAGCACTTGCTCGTTTATTTGAAATTCCTATAAAAAAAAAAAAGGCAAATGTCCAGTTACCAAGTGAATTCCATAGGGTGCACATTACAGCACATTGTATAAAGCTTCTGGGATGAGTGTGAGTGGTAGGGGAAGGCTGGTATGGTGCTGAGAACCAGTAATCCTAGTACCAGAAGTATCAGGAGTGTGAGGCCAAACATGGCCACACAGAAACATTCTTTCTCAAAATTGAACATAGGGCTGGCAAGATGGCTCAGTGGATGAGGACAAGTGCTGGCAGGCCTGACAACCTGAGTTCTATCCTTGGGACACACATTCTAGAACAAGGGACAACTCCTGTAAGTTGTCCTCTGACATCCAAAACCTATGCTGTGGCATAAGTACACACATACTAAATAAATAAATGAGTAAATTTAATAAAATAATAACAAATTAAGAAAAATGGCAAGTCAAGGCACTTACTCCCAAGCCCAACAACCTAAATTCAGCCCTGAGGATCCACATGTAGAAAGAACCAACTCCTGAAAGTTTTTCTGCACGTTTACACAAACAAATATTATTTTAATTAAAAAGAAATAACACCTGGTGTTGGATAGTTGGTTCAGCAGTTATGAGTATTTGCTGCTCTTGCAGAGGACTGGGATTTGGGTTTGAGCATCCATGTGGAAGCTCAAAACTGTCTTAACCCTATTTCCAGGGGATCCAACACTCTCTTTTGGCCTCTTCAGGCACAAACACACACATAGTACACATATATATATTCAGGCAAACACTCATATCAGAACATATACATACATACATACTTTTTTTTTTTTGAGACAGGGTTTCTCTGTGGCTTTGGAGGCTGTCCTGGAACTAGCTCTTGTAGACCAGGCTGGCCTCGAACTCACAGAGATCTGCCTGCCTCCGCCTCCAGAGTACTGGGACTAAAGGTGTGCGCCACCACAGCCTGGCTATCAGAATGTATTTTATGAGTGCTTACCTGCATGTATGTATATGTGTATGTACGTATACGTACACGTACGTACGTACGTACACACACACACACACACACACACACACACACACACACCATACCAGACCAAAAAGAGTGGATTTGAATGGGCTATTGAGATTCAAGATGATTCTGATGGTCAGCCCAGAGAGCCAAAAGCAAGACGGCTGAAGAGACTGCTCAGGAGGTGATAGCACACACCTTTAATCAGAGAACTTCAGAGGCAGAGGCAGGAAGATCTCTGTGAGTTTCAGGACAGTCAAAGCTACACAGAGAAACCCTGTCTTCCAAAAAAAAAGTTTTAAGTACTTGCTTTTCTTGCAGAGAGCCTGAGTTTGAGTCCCATGGTGGCTCACAACTATCTTTATAATTATACGTCTAAGAGAGCCGATGTCCTCTTCTGACCTCCAAAATCACCAAATAAATACATGCATGCAAACCCCCAATGCATGTAAAATTAAATAAAGAAACAAAAAATAGCTGGGAATTGTTAAACGTACCTTTAATCCCAGCACATGGAAAGCAGAAGCAGACAGAACTCTGTGAGTTCAAGGCCAGCCTGGTCTATATAGTGAGTTCCAGGATAGTTAGGACTACATAGCGAGACCCTGTCTCAAATAACAAACTAAATAAACAAGCAAACAAATAGATCAGGTTGAGACATAAAGAGTCCCTAAGCCACAGAGGTCTAGGCAAGCACAGGACAGCACTGAGATAATCTTCCCCTATCTAGTATTCAGAATAAAAGGGAACCTAAGGGTCGGGGCTACCAGAGAACATACCTAGTTTAGGAGCTGGAAGAAATGAGGCTACTTCATCTCCAGAGAAGCAGTGTTCATGGCATTTCATGCCACCCACACTACTGCCAGGTCTCTGACCAAGGGAGGCACTCATGCACCTTTCATATTTCATGCTGTTTTCTCAGCACATAGTTTGCATGCATAATGATCTAATGGAACAATATTGAACAATCCTAAATTGGGAGGAAAAAAGGCAAAACAAAAGGGCCAGCCAGAGTTCAAGTTCCCCAGTGAGGTTAAAATGGAAACCAGAATCCAAGCTGAGTCAGATCTCAAAGCAAGGACTACCACAAATGTTTCAATGTCTGTTTTAAACAAAAGTAAAGGTTTGTGCGTCATTCTGAAGGCAATTAAAGCTCCAGGCACAATGATGAAATTTAGAAAAGCGAAAACAGCCCAAGTTCAAGTTCTCTAGGGATTTTAAAAGACCATATAACAAGCTCAGGATTCACATATAAAGTAACGTGTAATAATTGGAGATTAGCATAGCATAGCAAATGATCTCCAAGGCTACCTTACCTAGTATACAATATTTTAGACACAGTGGGTTAAGATTTCAATCATCTATTCATCATTACAGTCTAGTGGAGGGATATTTTTATTTTTATTGTTGGTTTGGGGGGGTTGTTTGGTTTTTTTTTGTGGTTTTTTGTTTGTTTGTTTCTTTGTTTTTGAAATAGGGTTTCTCTGTTTAACAGCCCTGGCTGTCCTAGAACTCACAGAGATCCGCCTGCCTCTGCCTCCCTAGTGCTGGGATTAAAGACGTGCTGTCAGGTCTTTTTTTTTTTTTAAGATTTTATTATCATGTATACAGTGTTCTGCCTGCATGTAGCCTGTACGCCAGAAGAGGGCACCAGATCTGATTAGAGATGGTTGTGAGACACCTTGTGGTTGCCGGGAATTGAACTCAGGACCTCTGGAGAGTGCTCTTAACCTCTGAGCCATCTCTTCAGCCCTTGCTGTCAGTTTTAAGATAGGTCTCATTATGTAGTTCTGGTTGGTTATCTGGAGCCTTTGGTGTAAACCAGACTGGCCTCGAGCTGTAGAAGTGTCCTGCCTCTGCCTCTCAAATGCTGAGATAACAGTGTCACTGGTTTGGTTTGGTTATTTGGACAAACTCTTTGACCTCTTGATCCTCCCTCTCCTGCCTTCAAATCCTCAGGCCTGGGATTAGAGGCATGTATCACCATTCCTGATATGGGAGAGTTGTTGTGTGGGTTGTTTAAGACAAGTTAGCTTCTATTATATCAACTGCATCAAATCAGTGAAAACTAGACTCTTATAGAGAGCACATGGTTACCATCACAGGCAAGGCAAGCATTGCTCACCAGTGGGTACTACTTGCCTGCTAAAGACCAAAGGCTAGATACAGATAAACTGCCTGCTGCTCAACAGCCTCACTCATTACAGAGCTCCACTGTTTGCTACTCACAGAAGATCCATCCTCTTCATGTAAGCCCTCTTTCCTCAGCTGTATTTTCTCTAAAGGGCGGAGATAAGGACTGTCCCAGCAAAACCACTCATCATAACGATGGTTCCAACGCTTGAAATGGATGAGAACTTTCCCTTCTTCGTAGTCAATGTCTTCAATGTGAGCTGGATACCTGAGTCAGAAAAAAAGGGAAATTTCCATAATGCTTACCCAAAATATCCAAGCCTCTTTTCACAGAGCATAATACAAAACATTTAAGGCCTATCATTTTGTTGTTCTTTTAAATTTTTATTATTTGCTTTTAAAGATTTATTTACTTGTATGCATGCCTGTATCACTCGGGTGCCTGTTGCAGCCCATGGAGGTCAAGAGGGAGTGGTTCCCTGGAAGTGGAGTTACAATGGTTCTGAGCCACCACCTAGGCACTAAGGAATCAAGCACAGGTCCTCTGGAAAAGCAGCAAGTGCTGTTAGCTGCTGGACCATCTCTCCAGCACCAAAGTCCTACCATTTTGAACCCAGGCATGGGGTACTAGGTATAATGCCTGCCCTTGGGACTAAGACAAAGGGATTGCTGCAAATCTGAAGCCAGGCCAACTTGGGCTTCATGAAGACCCTATCTCAAAAAGAAAAACAAGCAAACAAACAACAACAACAAAGTAACACTTTGAGATGCTGTGTACCTAGGTCCCATAATTACAGAATTACAGAAGATAATAGACTTGAATTCAAGTCTCCTGGGGCAAGCCCTCACAGGCTGAAGCAGGAAGAAGTCCCATGAAACCCAGACTACAGACCCAAAAGTCTCAAAAATTAATAAACAATAAATAATAAAAGTCTTCTCTCTTATCTGGAGCAAACAAGGTGGTAAAAAGCACTTGGCAACCGGGCTGATGAGCTCCATTAGTTTTTGTTTTCCAAGACAGGGTCTCTCTGTAGCTTTGGAGACTGTCCTGGAACTCGCTCAGTAGACAAGACTGGCCTCAAACTCACAGAACTCCTCCTGTCTCTGTGCTAGGATTAAAGGCTGCCCATCAACACTGTGCTTTCTTAGTTGATCAACTAGTAACCTTTAAGAGCCTAGTTGTTTATAGTACCAGTTAAAAGAGATGACACATACACAAGGCCTCAGCACAGAGGGGGCACTACTGGCATGTGCATATAGACTGTAACACAGCCTCGTGAGGTTAGGGTTTGTGTGTGTGTGTGTGTGTGTGTGTGTGTGTGTGTGTGTGTGTGTGTGTGTGTGTGTGTTTTAGTTTTATTTGTGTGTTAGTTTGCTTTGGTTGGTTTTCTGAGACAGGGTCTCATGTGGCCCATGTTAGTTTCAAACACAATGTAGGTAAAAAGTATCTCAAACTCGTGATCCTCCTGCCTCTCTCTACCTTCCAAGTACAAGCACTACTGTGAGTGCCAGCATGCCCAGCTGTTCCTGAGCATTTTTAAACTGTCTAATGAAGTGCTGTGCAGATAGTGAAAGGAACAAGATGATTCCCATGTCCTGATGAAGACAGCCCCTGGGATGCACTGAGACGGGTGCACCACACTGTGTAGGATAGGCTGTTATATGAAGTGTTTCATTTTTATCACATTTTACTCATTGTGTGTACACGTATGCCACAGCACACAGCAGGATGTCAGACGACAACTTTTGGGAGTCAATTCTCTCTTTCCAGTGTGTAGGTTCCAGGAACAGAACTCAGGCTGTCAGGCTGGCAAGTGCCCTGACCTGCTAAGTCATCTCACAGGACCTGTTACATGAATATTTGAAGTTCTTTTATTCATTTGGTTTTTTTGAGACAGGGTGTTACTATGTAGCCCTAGCTGGACCTAAATTCACAGAAATCTGTCTACCTATGCCTGCTGAGCGCTATGATCCAAGGCATGTGCTATCCCATTCAGCTATTACTTGATTTTAAAGAAAGGTAAATATGTACAAATTATCTGGAGGATGCAAAAGTGTAGCCAGCTTGGCCCATGGACTCTTCCCATCTCCATTTCACCCCTTCTAGATTGAGAAATGGAAAAACAAACAACGCTCCCTCATTGCCTTCCAATAAGCAATCAAGATGACAGAGACCAATAGTTGAGTGACCAGAACAACCACACACATGTAAATCCCCGAAGAGTTTGTTAAAATGCAACTCCTGACTCAAAAGCTTGGCCTTTGACCTCAGAGCACTGAGGACTTCTAGGATGTGGCTGCTGCTGCTGCTCTTCAGTAGCAAATGTCTAGCCACCAGCTGCTATGTCAGTGTTAAAGAGCAGTTGTGTGGGTGGCAATGCCAATAATGACATCCTAGATGACAAGTGATAGCCCCTCAAACTGGGACTCTGAGGATAACCTCCTTGAGTCTTACAACTCCAATCCTTTGCTGTTTTATAAATTCCTAACTCCCTGCGTTAAATTCTGGGGGGACTAAACTACTCAAAGAAGCTGCGCCATGGTGGTATACTCCTGTACTCCTAGCGCTCATGAGACAGAAGATTGAAAATTGTAGGTCAGCCTTGAGCTATATAGTCAAATACTGCCTCCCCACCACCCCACCCCAAAAAAGCTAGTAGTGTAGCATACACCTTAATCCCAGTTACTGAAGTTTTGAGCAGGAGGATCATTGCAAGTTCAAGACCAGTATGGGATACAAAGCATGACTTGGTCTGCAGAGATGGTTCAGCAGGTAAAGGTGATTGTCACCAAGAAGCCTGATGCCCTGAATTCAATCCTGAGACCCACATAATGGAAGGAGAGCCAACTCCTGCAAGTTGTTTCCTGACTTTCACATGCATGCCATTCTGTGCATGTGTATACAAACATAAGTAAAATTTGAATATGTAGTCTTAAAGCAAGACCCTGTCTCAAAACAAAACAAAGCTGGGTATCGTAGCATGAGTCTGTAATCTAGTACTCTGGAGATAGATAAGAAAGTTCAAGGTCCCCCTTGACCACATAGTTGGAAATCAGCCTGGGCTATAGGAGACTCTGACAGTTGTTGGCTGCCGTATGGATACTAGGATTGAACCCAGGTCCAGAGGAAAAGCAACCAGTCTCTTGACTCCTGAACCATCTCTCCGATCATAAATTAAAATTTTTGTCTTTTTGCTTTTTGAGAGTGGTCATTAGGTAGACTAGGTTGGTCTAGAATGAGCTATGTAGACCAGGCTGGCCTCAAACTCATAGAGAAGGTATTTTTGTCATTGTTTAGTACTATTGCCAGGTTGGCCTAGAACTTGCAATCTGCCTCCCAAGTGTTAGAATTACAAGAAAGGTGTATTGTGTTTGCAACGATTTGCAAACCTAAAGACAACTTTCTAAGAGTTGTAGCCAAGGGACAGTTCCTGAAAATGGTCTGTCTTCTCTCTCTTTCTAACATGACAGAACTGGAGCTAGAAAAACAGTTCAGTAGATAAGAGCAGTTACTGCTCTTGTAGAAGACCACACAGTGGCTCACAACTCCAGCTCCAGGAGTTGTCAGCTCTTCGACCTTGCAGACTCTTCCATGGGCTTAAAACACATACACTCAGGTACACACATATTCATAAAAAATAAAATAAAGAGCCGAGCGTTGGTGGCGGACACCTTTAATCCCAGCACTCGGGAGGCAGAGGCAGGCGGATTTCTGTGAGTTCGAGGCCAGCCTGGTCTACCGAGCGAGTTCCAGGACAGCTTCCAAAACAATACAGAGAAACCCTGTCTCGAAAAACCAAATAAATAAATAAATAAATAAATAAATAAATAAATAAATAAATAAAATAGGAAGTAGTGGCAAGACCTTTAATCCTAGCACTTGGGAGCCAGAGGCAGGTAGATCTTTGTTTGAGGCCAGCCTGGTCTACAGAGCGAGTTTCATGATAGCCAGGGATGCAGAGAAAAACCCTGTCTTGAGAAAAACCAAAAGTTAACTAAAATAAAAATAAATTAATTAAGTATTAGTTATGTTTTTCGAGACAGGGTTTCTCTGTGGCTTTGGAGGCTGTCCTGGAACTAGCTCTTATAGACCAGGCTGGTCTCACTCACACAGATCCTCCTGCCTCTGCCTCTCAAGTGCTGGGATTTAAGGTGTGCACCACCATCACCCAGCTAGTAAATATTTTTACTTTAAAAATAAGTGACAGGATGCAAGTCACTCCTAGGTGAGAGGACCTATCTGTGTGTCAGGAAAATAGGAAGCAGTAATGACCGTCTAAGACACTGACTCAGTAGGGCTTAATATTAGACTGACCGAGTAGAATTTACACAATGACATTGGTACCTGCCTTGGGGACAATTTAGCTTCATCAATCACAGGGCCTTATTAAGTGCCTCTTATATAGCCAGTCAACTCCAGGCCCAAAACTGATCATATACATGTGTGCTCTAATCCTCCCCATCCTAGAAGCTTTCAGACCATTAGGCTGAGCTCCAGATCAGTGATAGCAACTGCTTTTACCAAATAATTTCATCTGTCTCAGCCTGAACATCTGGACAGCTACAAGGTAAACTAGAGAGGATTGGGACAGGTTAGCAGGTGAGTGGTGAGTGTTTCGTTCACAGGCAGGAAAAGGAAGATGGAATTCCCAGCTTCAAAATGTAATTAAGAGCCACCGAGGCACCTTTGTAAACAGACACTAGCTAGAACTCACACTTCTTTATTTTCTTTTCAGTTTTTCACTTCATGTGTATGAGTGCTTTGTCTGCATGTATGTTCGTGTACCACATGCATTCAGTGCCCCTGAATGTCAGAAAAGAGAGCTGATACCCTAAAACTGGAGTTACAGATTGTTGTGAGCAGGCACCTCTAGAAGAACAGTGCTCTTAACAGCTGAGACATCTCTCCACCCCACCTCGTTTTTTGAGACAGAGTCTCACTATGTAACTCTTACTAGCTTGGAACTCAGAAGACTGTAATTGGAGTAGACTGTAATTGGAGTAGGATCCAGAGAGGTAAAAGGCAGCAAAAAAAAAGGATTGAGGAAGAGAAGAAACCAGGACACCTCTCCAGGAGGAGATGCTCGCTCTCCACTCTGAAAGACAGCAAGATTTTCCATGTGGCCATGAGGGCTGTGGAAGCTGGGCACTGTGACACACATCTGGAATCTCAGTCCGCAGGGGGCAAAGGCAACTAAAATGGGAATTTGTGCCTATCTGAAGTTACAAGGTGAGTTTAAGGCTAGCCTAGACTAGAGAACTTACCTC